AAATGGGATTCCATTATGAGGGCCCTCTCGCTTTTCAAGTTGCAATGTGAAACACAACTCCAAACATAAATTCAATTGGTTGAAAACATGATTTTAATTTCAACTTTTTTTATGGAAGAGTCCTCGAGAATGCATTATTGACTATGAAGTTGTTTTGTATTATTGTGAATGTTATTTTATGAAGTATTTACAGTACCATGTTATGTTGTATGCATTCTGTTCGGGTTCACACAAGTTGAGTATAGACAGTTGGGCCCCGAAAGTGTATATGCACCTGGAAGAAACTCATTTTACTCTGATTTTCTCAACTGCACTTATCCCTATCAGGAGTCACTCATCTCAGAGTGATTAGTGATGTAAATATTGTATATTAAACAGAAACCATATTTGTCTATCTTCCTGTAGTGAAAAGTTGACAGGCATGAGTGCAAATGTGATAATGTATATCAGGCCCAACTGGATGTGTATGTACATCTAAAATTCAGGGATTATTCAAGTCAATATATATCAAGTTTTGTGTTCCTTATGCTTTATATATACTATAAATAGAGATGAGTGAAATTGTGATAATGCATATCGGGCCAAACTGCACATCTACAATTCAGGGATTATTCCAGTACTTGATAATGTTTTTGTTTTTTCTTCTTCCATTTTAACTATCAGTAAATGTGTATCAAGTTTTGTGTGCCTAATATGCTTTGTATATACTATAAATAGAGACCATATTTGTCTATCTTTCTGAAGTGAAAAGTTGACACGAATGAGTGAAATTGTGATAATGCATATCGGGCCAAACTGCACATCTACAATTCAGGGATTATTCCAGTACTTGATATTTTTCTTTTCTTTCTTTGTCTATTTCCATTTTAACTATCAGTAAATGTGTATCAGGTTTTGTGTGCCTAATATGCTTTGTATATATTATAAACAGAGACCATATTTGTCTATCTTCCTGAAGTGAAAAGTTGATAGATATGAGTGAAGTTGTGATAATCTATATCTGGCGCAACTCTACATGTACAATCCATGTACATCTACAATTCATGGATTATTCCAGTAATAAATAGTGTTGCTGTTTTTTCTTCTTCCATTACTATAAGGCCTCTAAATAGATGTGTAACAATTTGTGTGTGCCTTATGCTGAATGCCTGCACGTATAAACAAAGTGGTCATGTGATTTGATAATTAGCCAAGAGCTACTTGTATAGGAGGGGTATATATTGAACATGTCCATATCACTATGATCTAATACACACTGGCATACCAGTATACTAATAATAATAGCTAGTTCTTGTATGTGATTACTGTAAGACATACATTCTATCAGTGTATAAATCAATATTTGTTAAAGGTACATGATTTTTATAATAATAATAATAGTAAGGATAAATGTAATTTATGTAGCGCCAAATCTTGTCTGTGAATTAAAAACAAGCGTTTTTACATGATTTTTTAAGGAATCAGAGGTTATACACTTTTTGATGTCATCAGGAAGGCTATTCCATTAAGTACGACACGCGTGAGCTTGGATCTTTCCCCCAAGTTTGTTGTAAATTTAGGAATCACAAGAGAACCGGAAGTGGATGAGCGTATAAAGATCTTGCGATGGTGTAATTTTGGATTAAAGAATATTGTATTGGGGAGCAGAACCGTGAAAGCAGTGAAAAGTGAGCAACAAAGTTTTGAAATTAATGCGATCTGTAACAGGGAGCCAATAATGCGAAACAGGGTTGATATGGATATGCTTGGGGCTGCAGCGTTTTGAAGAAAAAACGTAGCAATAAAAGAATGTTTCCAATTTCAAGAAGAAAGTCTTATCAATGTAGTCCAAATCAGATGATCTTATATGTTGTAAGTTTACAACATTGTATGTGTATGATAAGCAACGATACCAATTTAACTGAAATGGAAATTTATGATCTGAAATATGTTAAGACACTCATGATTTTGCTTACCATGTTTATATGTACCGCGTATGTGCAAAAGATTAAAGTACTTCTTGTATTTCTTATTCCGAGTCTGAAATTATGATTTTTTTTTTTGTTGTTGTAAGGTTTGAATCCAGAGAGATGGGGAGGGAAGGGAATTAAAGGAACAGGAGAGAGGCAGGGAGTGAGACAGGGAGGCAGGGAAGGGAGAGGTGAGGGTGCATGGGGTAGAGAGAGGAAAGGGAGGAGAGAGAGAGAGAGAGAGGGAGAAGGGAAGGAGGGAGAGAGATGAGGATGGGAGTGGGGGAAGCACAAATGTGTAAGGGGAGGAGGGTAACATATAGAGTGAGCAAGATAATAGAAAGGAGAGATATATGAGAGGTGGGGATGTAGAGATGGATAGCCAATATGTTCCAGTAAGAGGGAGAAAGGAGATCGAAATCTTGAAGCATATGAGATGGGTGGGAGGGGGGGGGGGGGGTGTAGAGAGGTTGAGGTGGATAGCTAAATAGAAAAAGGGACAAGCTTGAAAGGGAGATTTAGATCATATGCACTGGGGTTACCCCCTCCCAAATAAAATCAAACGTGTTTTATTTTTAATTTGATACCATTGTTCAGGGTGTAATTGTCCTAGAACCACAAGAAATGATATAATTCCCATTTTCTCGATCTCCACAGGCCCGCTCTCTTTATTTTTTACACACAGCTCTTTTTCCCCCTTAAAAAATAAAAATCCCTCTCTCTCTCTCTCGCATTTCCTCCTCTCTTTCTTCCTTTCAACATGTGGAGCCTTATTGCATTCAATTCCTTGTGCTGAATTAAAACGCCCTTCTCATCCTTTCACGCAATCATGGTATATTGCAATGATACATGATATGCTGTCGAGTCATTCACTTTATTTACAAAACATTGCTACTCTTATCCGCTATCAATACAATATAGAACTCTACACATTACAAGACATTGTATAAAACTGGAGAATACAAGACATAATCAACCAAAGTACACTTCATTGACCTATATATCCAAATGACTATAAACATTCACAAATTTTTCCTAAAAAAGAAACCATACTACAAATGTATGGGTTAATTCATGATTGTCATAGATTGTCAAGAAGAGCGTCAATATTGAGTGAATGCCCTAGTTTCAATCTTTTAGCAGAATATATTACCAATGAATAGCCCCCTAATTTACAATTTACCCTATACATGATATGTACATGTATTGAAAATTAAACATGATAAAAAAAGATCTGTTTGGACACTATCAAGAATGAATCAAAAGAGGGCGCTATTGTAAACCTTCAATATATTATTAATTTCATATACAATTCTCAACTAGCTGTCAGCTCGCAGGCACAAATCCTGATCGTTTATACAAAATAAAGGTCCTGAACTAGAATGCATGTTTGGTAACGGAAGGGTGCTAACTCTGTGTAAAATGATACAAGTTAATGCTATTCTGGCTCTATCCATAACAACAACAAAACATGGTACTACAATGGTTTTCATATATGGCACTACCATGGTACTTTTTCATAAGGGTAAACAGCTAGGTGGTAGCTACATGTAGGTTCTACATTACACCAACAAAACCCCTGCATAAATGTTCCTAACAGTTTGGATTCAATATGAATAACCTTGAATAATGAAATTGCTACAATTGATGAAAAATGTTTCTATATTATAAAGGCCCAATGTCTTGCAAAATGGCCACATATCATCATCAATAACAAAATATAACTCTTAATTTCTGCATACCATAATAAATGTATCTGTACTGTTTCTTCTTCAAAATGCTTCTTCAAAAAGATCAACTGCAAGTTAATTCAGATAAAACTGCTATCAGTTTATGAGGTACAGCTATTTCGGGTAGAAAATATTTGCATAAAATAAGAAATTCAGCCCCTTAAGTAATTCAGTTATGATCGATGAAGTCAAATCTCACTTATACAGTTTGAATATTATTTGAATGCATACATTGTTACACAATCTTTTACTTTAGTACACATGATTATCAACATTGCTTTTATATTTCTAGTTAAATACAAAATCAAGTGAAAATTTCTTTCCTTTTATAGGAAATCAATTTTAAGCTAGTCTACAAAAATGCAGACTAAAGGACTTTAGCGTTATAAATGAATGAAAATATGAACAAAAACATCATTACTTATTTAATATACCTGAGTTGCTTTTAAATTACTTAATGTAAATGTTCTTAAAAGTATGTCCGAAGTAATGTCCAACAATTTATGTTACTAAACTTTTGGCTGAGGGTCAATTGTCTATACTTATATCACACAAGATAAAATCATACAGAATTGTGTATCACATTATAAACTACAGTCAAATATCTCTATTAAAGGCATCGTTTAACAATGTTAAATCTGAGATGCACGGCCCTACATGTTATCAGTGTGTGTAATATGGTATAATATTGAAGCCCTAAACAAAATCACGCTTCAAAATGATCGTGCCTCAAAAAAGTAAAAATCTTTGAGTGACCGGTTTTACTATACTTGTTTTTCCCCAATAGACTGTAGTGTTATGAAAACTGTTTGGCAAATGCAAAATTTCCAATCATAAATATCTTGGTAATCAGACAGGCGATCGGCTTGTAAAAGCCATGGGGTTCCTGACTGACCTAGAGGTTTATAATTATCATTGCAGCATGAGCTTAATCAAGGATTTTGTTTCAGAATCTGAGACAAAGTTACCGGATCCCTTTAAGGCAATCCAAGGGAAACAGAAATCAAATTACCAGTGCAGACAGGTGGTCTTTCTAGTCAGGTGATACAGTACACATTTCTCTCTTGAGGGAGACAAATACATGGCCACTATAGAGAGGTGGCCTTTATAAAGAGGTGGTCACTGAGACAGGTTTGCCTGTACAGTGTGCAGGCAGGTTAGATGTATACTTACATGAGATTATCTTTTGCCATACCTTTCATATATAGACAACGTGTGAGTTATTATACAAAGTTCATTACCAAAGTTAAGATGATCATTTGTACTGACAAACGATCAAAAAAGTTCATTTTAACAGACAAATAAGAAAATATACACCGAGTCTCTGCTAATCAACAATATACATATATCTATACAAAACAGTTACAGAACAGTGGAGAAATGGGTGGCAGGGATATGACAATTTCTTAGCTAATCAACTATACTAAATCAGAGTCAAAACTTGAAAACAAAGGGGATTTGAAAGCATGTAACAATATTCATACGATTCCATTTGAAATTTTGGCAGACAAAATAGCTAGGCTAGTACATATATCTAAAGCTTGAAAGTTTATTTTCGACACATATAATACAAAGTTATCCATAAATATTTCAGTTGCTACTATATAAATCGAAACACATCTCACTATACAAATTAAAATGTATGTCCCCTTTAATTAGAAAAGTAAGAAGATTGAAAACAAAATTATAAGGAAAGACAAAGAATGAAAAATTTAACAGGAAAAATACATTTTAAGAATGAAATAAACACATAGACATGAAAGGGACAGAGTAGGGAGAGATAAAGAGAGTAAGTGGGGGAGGGAGAGAGAAAGAGTGGGAGAGACTGAGAGAGAGATAGAGAGAGAGGGAGGAGAGAGACCAAGAATTATATAGCCCGAGTAATGAGATAAAATTTAAGTTGTTAATTTGTTACATGTTCATATCATTTATCTTACAATTTCTTACCAACTAGAAATCCCTTATACACATACAAAAAAATCTTCTTCTTTTAAAATATTTACAAATCAAATATATTAATCTCTGATTACAAATTATTCATTACAACTAACTGGAATGTTAATTCACAAGGTCATATCAACATACAGCAATAACTTACTATCAATATCACAAATATAATCACACATGAACACTACAATAAACTATCTTCGTTATTTTCCCCTGAATACATAGCACAAAAATCACTTTTTGTTTGCATTCTCAAGGAACAAGGTGGCAGTAAGCACAGAAATACAACACTTGCATTGAGGGATACATAGAACATAATTGAAAATGAACAATTTACGACAAAAATAGATTTTATCTTCCAAACCAGTAGTTTATGCTAATCAAAAAACATGATTGCATTACTCCTGAGAAATGTCAGCATTAGAACAAGACTGCGCCTGTATATTCATTCAGCCAACGTTGATAAAATAAACAATACAGCCTTTTAGAAAGAATTGTTTGTGCATCGTAAGATATCGATGTGAACAGAAATGATATTTTTATAAAAAAACGTCAACCTTTGGCACAAAAAGCACAGAACTTGAAATGGGAAATGACTTCATTATTTGTTAAAACTTAGAATCCTGAATTCATGATACATACATAAAATAAGGCAGAAATGATTAAGAAAAAAATGCACTTTTCGAATGATCTGAAAACCCATTTGGTATGGAAATTCAAATTGTATAAAAACAAGAGAAAAAATGCCATCGTATACCAGTATCCAGTTATTCCTTCAACTCTAAGATATCTCCTAATTTACAATGCAATAATTGATAAACAGACTATAGATCTTCTTTTACTGTTCATTACTAAAATGATGCAAACTCCTACATTTTCACGCTCCCGCAACTACGTTGTGTAAGACTAGTATAAACATATCCATGTAAAACAAACTGGTCTATTCACACTCTGATATAGTCTGAAAGGAACAACTGAATAAATCAATTTTTTCTGTACATAACATATATTTATATATCATGCACTTGTGCAAGAATGTTGTTCTTTACCATCTTGATCCACCATGGTTAAAGTGAGGTAAAAAATTATTAGATCATAATGAGAACACTCCCATTGGGTTCATTCACACTTAATCTAATCTCACTCTTTGGCAGAAAGCAACTCTTAATCCCTATCAGTCTTTCTATTCAAAGCATACAACTACATGGTACATGTATAAACGAGATGAGAAACGTTATAATTATCAAAATGTGAATTCGGCCAGTCAAAACCGATGGGTACATTCACATTCCCTCTTATTCTCTCCTTTCAAAGATCCCCACTTCCTTCTTTCAAACCAAGGTGATGCAAACAAGATTTAAAACTTAGTTTAAACCATCATAGTGTAAACACTTCCACTAAAGTACTATGATCTCATTCGGACTTGCATTTAATCCTATTCTTTGGCAGGGAACAACTCCTTAAACAGTTCCCCATCTCCCTTCTTCTTGTCCAGCCACTTGTGACAAGGGAACATGGTTGTGAGCCCGGTTGCCAAGTTGATGATCTCAACGTGATCGCAGAGCCAGCCAGCTCCGAAGCCGGCGTTGTCGTGCTCGATCCTGATCTTCTCAAGGTCACCCAGGTCAAGGACCTCCAGTTTGAACTTGTCTGTTTGGCCTGTAAATGAAGATAAAATCAAATAAATAATACTAATAGTGAACATTTATAATGCGCCATGTCTGTCAAAAATGACATTCCTGGCGCAGTTCAATTGTGTGGAAATTGTATAATTGTGGGCATACGACCTTCAAGTAATTCAAGAAACTGCCACTAGTTCCTCTAACAATTCCTTGCATTGGTTTCTCACATGATGTACAAATATCTTTGCATTACCTTTAAGTTGACCTTAGTCTTTGTGAAACACCCCCCAGTTGTCATTGGAAACAGGGTAAATCACACAAATGATATAGGAAATATGTTTCCTGGCTTATCTTTTTGTGAGTAGGAGAAGGAGGGAGAGCTGATGAACAATTCATCATAATGACTTTAGCACATGAAGAATTTTAAGTTTCTATACATATTTTGATGGCAATTTTCTAAATTATGTACATTTTGTTTTCCTGTACCCAGTGTTAGTAATGTGCTATCAAGGTTGGATTGCCCTTTAAACTCGCCATTTCTTCTCATAAGCATATATGTAAGAGAAGATTTCACAATAATTCATATTAATACAAATTACAATAATGACAGTGATTCTCCTATCAATCCCTACATTTTTCAAAGAAATCCCCAAAGCTCTGTTCTAGCGCGGCTGCTTTCTCTGGGTCACCATTCATTCCATAGCTAGTAATGCTGATGTTAGGGAGCAACTTTTAAAAAAAAAGATTCCTGACGGCTTATCTCATTCAAGCAGATCCCTGAACCATAGTCTGTTTGGCTGCTTCCCAGGGTCTTTAATATTTCCATAACTGGTAATACACATATCAGGGAGCATCTTACAAAATGAATTATTCATGAGGGTTTACCCATTTCAAACAGATCCCTAAACCTCAGTTTGTTTGGCTGCTTCCTAAAGTCTCCATTATTCCAAGGACTGGACATACACATACCAGGGAGCCTCTTACAAAATGAATTATTCATGACGGCTTACCTTTTTCAAAAAGATCCCTGAATCGTTGTTTCAACGGTTGTTTTCCAGAATCTCCATTTTTGCCGTAGATGGTGAGGGTGACGTTAGCATCCGTCCCCGCTCCTTTCTCATCAGCCGTCAGAACAATTACCTCGTATTGAACTGGGGCTAGATCTGTGTAGTTCAAAATAATAACAAAAATAGTGAACTTTGTTCTGTATCTCATCTTTTGATGAAAATGTGTAGTCCATGACTATTGGAGGAGCGGGCACCTTTGAATGTTTGAAACAGATAAATAATGCCATACAAGTGCTGTGGATCATCATCATCGTCATCATCATCATCATCTTGAGAATGTAAGGCTTATGGTTACAACACTTAAGGGTTCCACAACACAAGCAAATTTTCAAGACTATCAAAGCAAATTTCCACTACGATCACCTCATATGAAAAACTATGTCTTTACCTTTTGATGTATTTGTTTTAATATATGATGATGAATAAGTAAATTAATGGAATTTAATTGAATACATTTAATTCTGCTTTGTGCATTACTAGTCATACCTGCTTTAACGACCACCTGTATAGAAAGACCACATGTCTACAGAGACCACATTTGTTGTTCCTCTTGAAAACGGTTCTCATTGAAACATGTACTAAAGGAAACCTGTACATAAAAACCACCTGCTTGTAAAGACCACTATTCTTGTCTCCCTTGGGTGGTCTTTATAGACAGGTTTCACTGTACCATAGTCCATGAACACAAATCAAACATTGTATCACAAAATGAAAGACAGATGAATAAGCCAGTTTACGGTTGCAGTCTGAGCATGAGCAGATAAAGGTCATTTGTACCAAAAAGGTAATACCCACAGAGATGAATACTGGATATGCGCTCATGAAAGGTATATAACGTTATTCATTTATGCACCAACGGTATATTCTAAGATACGCAGGTGGAAGTATTCTTTTCAAGAGGGCAAACAAAAGGTATTCATGAAGCACATCTAGGACTTTGGCAGTTATTATTCTAAGATGCTCAAAGTGGAACTTCTCCATGTGTAAAAGATCTGTGGATATTTGGGGTCATTTGTACCATGTGCTATCTGTAAACTCCCTTATTATAAAAAATCTTTGCTTGTGACTCACTTCTTATCGCCGCTACCTTGCCCTCTTCCATCTTCTTGCACTGTAGTCTTCTCGCTTCGTCTTTACGATTACTTAATGTGATCCAATTCTTGCATGGAAAGACGAATCTGCCAAAGTAAAGAAAATGCAAAATCAAGGTACATCGAAAAGCAAAGAAATAGAAACAAATATGTACCTAAACAGACATAAAATAAGAGGTAAACACTCTCTTCCTTTATCGTAGATCTTGGTTCTGGTACAAAAATTGAAGGTGGAGTGAAACTTGTTGAATTCGTCCTTGTATTTTTTCACACGTATCGATAGATTCATGTACATGTTTCAGAAAGGTGATGTTTAGTAAATCGTGTCTGATGCTAGTTATGAATTAAGATAAACATATATCTGCTTTGAGGACCTTTACAATAAGCCAGTTCATAGTTGCAGTCTGAGCATGAGCAGATATAGGTCATTGCAGACCAAATTGTGAAATACACAGAGATATATTGGATACATGCTCATGAAAGTTATGTAATCATTATTCATTTATGCACAAACAGTGCACTCCATGATACACAGGTGGAAGTATTCTTAGAAAAGGGAAAACAAAGGCTATTTATGTAGCACCTCCATCACTGTAGGAGTGATTATTTCAAAATGTACAAAGTGGGACCTCTTCATGTTTTGAAGATCTGTGGATATTCGGGGTCATTTGGGACATGCGCAAACCGTGAACTGGTCTATTGAAACATGAATTGCTGCTTAATAATGGTTTAAAAGTCCTGGTTTAGACTTACTTTGATCCATCGCTGCTATTTGTAATGACGACCTCGTGGCAGTGCCAATCTACGTCACGACCTTGACCCTCGGGTCTTGACCCATCACCTCTCTCCTTGTGACCAACAATGATACTGTCGATTTTACCCACAGTCCTCGTGGTGAACTTGAAATTGTCTGTCTCTCCTCTGAAAATAAACCAACCAATAAGACAATAAATCATTAAGATCAGTCTCTTGTACATTTAAATCAAGCCATCCATCATTCGTGGTTCAATCTATCAATCATTCATTCAATCAATCCATCATTTATCTGTTCAATCAATCAATCAATCAATCAATCATCATTCAATTAATCAATTATTTATGCAATTAATCAATCAATCTAGCAATCAATCAATCAATCAATCAATCAATCAACGTAACCATCACTCAAGCAATTAAATCAATCAATAAATCAATCACTTGATCAATCATCCATTCATTCATTCAATTTATCAATCAATTGATTGTTCAGTCGTCAATCAATAAATATCTCTGCCTCTTTAGCAATCTCTCATTGATTCAATCAATCAATAAATCAATCAATCAATCCATCCAATCACTATGTCTCAGATCAAATTGTCATCAATTTATCTATCTATCAATTAATCAATCACCCGATATTTCCTTTTTACTGACCTCCTTAGAATCTTTCTCTTTGGGGAGTTTTCCATCAAGAATTCTCTCGATGTACGTCTATCGCCTTCTAGAATTACGAATGCGTTCTGAGTGGTGCTGGCATCTCGCTTGTCTGTTGTTGTAATAGTGATGTCATATGCTAAAAGAAAGAGGTGGACACAAATCTTTTTACATTATTTGAAATCATAATCTCGCCCATAAAATTACACTACCAAAGCGCTTTTTCATGTTTCTTAATGGATCTTATGATCCTGTCAAACAACCTGCTCCCTCTTCCCCCTGCCTGCTTACCTTCTTACCCATAACATATGGAATGTTCCATACGCCTTGCATAAAACATGTGTAGGTAAGACTTACCACTTTGTATAATAGGGGTGTACTTACTGGCTCTACCCTCAACATCCTTTCCCCCTGCCTTCACATCTTCTCACCTATATCATAATAGAATATCCCAGTCTTCATGTTCAACCAATCTGAAGTTGGACTGATCCACTTTATAGAGTAGGGGTGTACTTACTTGCTTTTCCCTCAACATCCTTTCCCCCTGCCTTCACATCTTCTTACCCATAACATAATAGAATATCCCAGTCTCCATGTTCAACAAATCTGAAGTTAGACTGATCCACTTTATAGGATAGGGGTGTACTTACTGACTTTCTCCTTGTCATCCCTCGGGGTGAGTGCATTGGAGCAGAGCAGTTCTCTCATAATTTGTCCATCCTCCTCGTCCCTCGCTAGCCATCTTGAACATGGGAAAGAATAATCCTTTCCAGCTGTTTCGTCAAGGACCTTCACGTTGTCAAGATGCCATCCTGCCTTCAGACCTAACATAAATGTATAATTACAAACTTGTTATAGGTACAGTGTGTTAAATACTGAATGTGACTTACCGGTAACCCTTTCAGGACAGGATTTATATTTAGGGCTAAATTGCTCACATATTGTTTTTCAAATTGGCAACAATAATATTTTTCTCTTATTGCTAAATTGTTAAGTGATGTCTCAGAAAAAAATATGTGGGTGGGAATGTTGTCAACAAAATTGTGAATATAGCTTAGTTTCCTATTAAAATTGTTGGCATTACATGCAATATAGTCATGGAAAAATGGATGCAGTGAAAGATAGAGGGCAAGGGAGAAGGAGAAAGAGAGATTAGAGAGGGAGAGAGAGAGAGAGAGGAAAAGAACAAAGTATCAGCTGACCTGCGTTGTCATGCCATATCCTCAGTTTGATCAAATCTCCCAGACTCAACATGGGGAAGATGAAAACATCTTCATGGCTGCTTTCAAACTTGTCTCGGTAGGTCTGCGACTCCTTCAGCTTCAGCTCGTCCGACGAGCCGTTCTGTCCGAACAGCACCATGGAAACGTTAGCGTCCGTCCCGCCGCCCCGCTTGTCGGAGGTCTTGACGATGATCTTGTAGTTGGAATCTGAAGCAGGAAGAGACGTTTTTAGATACAGAATTCTTTTAAACCTACTTCAAGAAGGCTGCTCTACCCTCCATCACAATGATGCAGCCCCATGTAGGCTCTCACACAGTATAAGTTTACTCGCTTGGTTTTTACTTGCACTGGACATAGCATATTTTACTGTTAATCACCAAGTGCTTTGTCCACACACCATTACTGCACTTCATGGCACAGCCACTCGCCTCACCTACCATCCCAGTATAGCTTCCTGAGTGAGCTGCCAAAGGGATAAATCAATCAAGTACCGAAAGGATGACAACTGAGGAAGTTCTCATGGCTTGAGTTAATAATTTCATCAATTTCAATTTCTATGAGTTTGGTTCCTGATTATTGAGCCTTTTCCCCTTCTAATGAAAATAAACAACAATGATGTACTCTAAACAAGAAAGATATTTATAGGCAACACATAGAATATCAAGTCCTTTACAGGACTGTACATCGTCAAGAAAGATTAACAAGGGGCCCGTTTCACAAAGCATTTTTCCAATGACAAATGACAAAAACCAGTGACAAATCTGCTGATGACCAATCGGAAGCAAGGATTTCACTAGCTTATAACAAAAACTGTAATTTGTCACTGATGACAAGTTTTGTGAAACGGGGCCCAGAACGTGTAGAGAGATGAAAACAAAATTCAGGTAGACAGTTTTTTTGGGGGGAGCATCAACTTACTTTTGACTTGAGCCTTTCCTTTGACGATAGCTGCAAGCTCTTTCACTGTCTTCTTGTCTCCCATGCTCTTTGAAAGCCATCCTTCGCATTTGAATGTTGTCAGATCTCCGGTCTCCATATTCCTCAGAGTCACCTATGGACAACATTTAGGAAAATGAGAGACGTTTAAAGATCCTATGTCCCTTTTGCAGCCAACATCAAATTCGGTAGAACTTTGCAGAAATAATGAATATGTCATATATGTCCTATCTGTGGAATTTAAATATAAGCAGTGTCCTAGTATTCAAATTATGCAAGGAAACCTGTTTACATTCTAGACTTCCCTGTCAGAGGCTACTGAGTGACTGACTAACATCTTTTTTTCTTTGGTAACAACATACATAAAATGAGCTGTAACAGGTACATGAGCATTTGTCTACATCAATAACCCAATAATCAATAAACTCAAACTCAAACTCAAACTCAAACCCACTACTTGTAATGGCCATAATTAACTGATTGAATCTTTGTGCAGCACAAAAAGTATGACCATTCAGGTGATTGCAATCACTTAAGTTGATTCAACAACTAATGGTCATTGTGACTTATAAGTAGCAACACCCCTATTCTATTAAATGGATTAATATCCCCTTAGTTTACTTGTGCATTGGACTGGTTTATTCCATTGTAAAGCAGGGGATATTTTCTTACTTTATTGAGATACTAGTCTGCCCTGTTACCTTTCCCCTTGTGACTCATACAACACCCCTATTCTATTAAATAGATTAATTTCCCCTAAGTTTACTTGTGCATTGGACTGGTTTATTCCATTGTAAAAAAAGGTGATATTTTCTTACCTTATTGAGATACCAGTCTGTTCTGCTACCCTTGCCATTGTGACCTATTCTGATCTTCTTAAGGGGTGCAATGTCTTCAAGCTCAAGCTACAAGGGTGAAGATATGAGAATAACATGAAAGATGTATACACGAACTTGAACAAATGTTATAGTGCATGTCTTTACCAAAGAAATTATCATAGTGTCATCCCCTTACTTATCCTGCATCTTCTTCTTCTTCTTCTTCTTCTTCTTCATCCTCTTCTCCTTCTCCTTCTTCTTTTCCTTCTTCTTCTCCTTCTTCTGTTTCTTCTCCTCCTTATCAATCACATGCATCATCAGCATCCCCATTCCCATCCTCGTCATCATCATCAATACCCTCTACTCATCACCTTAGGATATCTAATACTGGGTCTTATTTATGCCACATAAAGTCTTTACCAAAGAAATTATCATAGTGTCATCTTCCTCATCCTTATTTTACTTTTCCTTCTCCTCATTCTTCTTCAGCCTCACCCTCGCCATCATCAATATCAATACCCTCTACTCGTCACCTTAGGATATGATACGGACGCACATACAGGGCCTTTACAAGGTCTTATTCATGCCACATAAGGTCTTATTTATGGCATATAAGGTCATATTCATGCCATATAAGGTGTATTTATGGCATATAAGGTCGTATTCATGCCATATAAGGTGTATTTATGGCATATAAGGTCATATTCATGCCATATAAGGTGTATTTATGGCATATAAGGTCATATTTATGCCACATAAGGTCTTTGTAATGCCACATAAGGTCCTATGTATGCCATATAATGTCTTATTTATGCCATATAAGGTGCATTTGTGGAATATAAGGTCCTATGGATGCCTCATAAGGTCTTTTTTATGCCACATAAGGTCCTATGTATGCCCTATAATGTCCTATTTATTCCATATAAGGTCTATTTATGCCATATAAGGTCTTATCTATGCCATATAAGGTATTATTGATGCCATATATGAGTCTCACCTTTACAAGGTCTTCTCTGCCCCTCTCAAATCTATCTCCGTTCTTATCCAGGACAATCTCCTTGCTGCAACCATTCGTTCCAAACACAGTCAGTGAAACCTGGGCATCCGTGCCAGCGTTCTGAACATCTCCCGTGAAAACCACCAACTCATAAGTGATTTCTGCAGCAAATAGAACATAAGAGCCACATTATAGGTCTATTCATTGGCAGCAAACACATAAGAAAACACCCTTCCAAGTTTTGGGCATCTTTTGGCACGACATTAATGAAAATCCGAAAATACTACAGATTTATGTCTTTTAATGTTGTACAGCAAACTGAATGTGTGTTTTGTAGAGGAAGCAATGTAAAACAAAATATATCCAGTTGCCCTTTTTGTCACATTCGATTAAATGCAAAGTCATAAAGAAATAAACTTACTTGGTTTATATTCAACTTTCTGGCCATCCTCCACGATCAGCATACGGAAGGTCTGTCCGTCATCCTCGTCACGTGACAACCAGCGTCGGCATGGCAACAGGTAGTGTTTGCCGAGGGTGGGCGTGTCTATCTCCATCTGCTCTAGGAACCAGCCCTCTTGGGATGTGACGCCGTCGTGGCCAATCTGAAGAAGACGGATAGAAATAGTGATTTAATAATGACAAACTTGGATGCCTTGACCAACTAGGTATAAAACTAAACATGTCTATAAACAAGACGAGAAACCATCAAAAGAAAATAGTTATACATGTAGTTTAGCAAACACCTGTTAGAGACAGAAGAACTTTTCTTTCCTTCATTTTAACCCTATTTAGCCCGGGGGGGGGGGGGGGGGCTTGAGAAGCCCCCCCCTCGACATTTTTCGCGATAATTTTTTAACGCAAGAAAATCTTGCACTGAAATTTTGTGACTTTTTTCTTTCGAGTCTTGCGCAACTTTTGAAAGAAATTTTTGGAAAATCGGACCTACCATTACAAAGTCACGTGTCCTTTTGTCTTCGCATGTCAGCCCGAAAATCGCTCATTTTTGTGATTTGTGTACAAAACATATGGAAATCTCATTTTTCAAATAAAGAGGTAAAACATTGGTTATTTGGTCTTGTTTAGAATTTAGGTGTTTATTTTGGGGTCAAAATAGTTGAATTATAGTTGGAAATGAAATAAAACAACAAAAACAATAAAATACATAAGTTAAAAAAACAAAGAAATACATAAGAAATTATCAAAACAATAGATAACATAAGGAACAACCCTGGTTTTTCAAATTTTTGTGTTGTATTATTATTCCAAATGGTCTAACAAATATATGTAGTGAGAAAGAATGCTTAAATATGAATAATGTCTGATTTATGGGCAAAAATGTGAATTTAATGACCTTATTTGCATAAATTACCATAAATATGCAAATGAGTGAATTTTTCCAAAAAATTGAAATTACCATAGTATTCTATACACTTCACTTGACATGTATGCAAATTTTCGCGGCGATCGGGCGTTTCACGGCCGAGATCATAGGGGGGGGCCTTAGAAGCCCCCCCCCCCGGGCTATGCAGTTTCAAAATAGCCCGGGCTAAATAGGGTTAAGTTTAACATTGAATGTTCAAGGCGCTGTAGTGAAGATAATTTTTGGGGTTTGTAGTTGCCAATTTTAGTTGGTGATATGTCATCTGGGGGTTGTTTCACAAAGATCCCAAGTCAAACTTAACTTTAAGTTGGCCTTAAATATTATGGAGAGCCATTTGTAGCCTTAAAATAAAATATATTCAAAAAGCGAAGATTTAAGATTTTTAGACTTTTTATAAATTCCACATCAAGAACATGAAATCTCCTTGATAATAGAAAATATGAATGATTTAATCAACATTTTATGCCTTTTAAAATAACTTTTACAAAATATTTTCATAGATGCTAACGGCTTTCCATAATTTTTACCTCCAACTTAGAGATAAGTTCAACTTAGGATCTTTGTGAAACATCCCCTGGTCACAATACGTACCTCCACTTTGTGGACTTCTCCTACGTCAGGGGCTTCAAGTGAGAAGGTCTCGATCGAAGAGGGTTTCAAAGACTTCTTGCCAACCAACTGTAGAGGGAGCTTGCCTGAATGAAGAAAAAGAAAATCGTCCATGTTAAAAAATGTTCATCATACATCTTGTTTTGATGCCTGCAGCCATCCCTCTCAACATCAAAGACATAAGAAGTCTGCAATAATAATCTTATTGAATGGTTATAAGCAATTACAGGAGGGGCCCTAGCTCACATCATGTTGACACATTTTTAAACAGGGTCCTGTTTCATAAAACTTCTTATCAATAACAACTGCCACAGATCTATGAATAATCTGCTCACGGCCAATCAAATGTAAGGATTTTAGTAGCTTGTAACAACTATCCTAACTTGTTATTGATAACAAGTTTCATGAAACAGGGCCCAGTACCACTTCACACATTTACTTCTTATGTCTGCCTAACAAACTATTTAATAGTTATACCTGCAATGCAGTGCCCTATCAAAATCCTAAGTAAAATGTCTGAGTACATACATGCACAATGATGGAATATTCAATTCAATTTAAATTTGATTCATTAAATTAATTTAATTTCCATTTCTCTTAAAAAATACATTCAACAATACATTATACATATAAGCAAATATATAAATAATACAAAGGAAGGCCATTGGCCTTTTAAAGGCTGGGCTCCGATGTCCGCAGATAATTATACAAAGTAAAGACGAAAGAAACAAGGGGGAGTAAATTAATAAAAAAATGAGTACAGGCTAATTAAACATATTGCCTCAAATGCTTCAATACTTTACATTTAGAATCATTTGAGCATTTAGAAGAGATGAGCTTTAGAGCCCCTCTGTTCTAGTTTGGCATGGGGGAATTAGACCTCCCTGCAAGGTCACTGGCAGGTGGTCATCTCATCAAATCAGCTGTCAAATAACATAAGATAAAGGGCATAATGGGGGATCGACGGGTACCGCTTAGGCATTGTTGGCTGTATAGAGGGCGCAAGTAGCTATAAGTAGTGCAGAGGGGCTTTAATACCTGTAGTTTTCTTCTTCTTGGAGCCGATGATGGTGATGAAGATGTTTGCCTCCGTTCCCATATCTTCCTCTGATCCTGTTGTCAGCTTGATCGTGTATGGTATAGCTGATGGATAGACAGAAGGTATGATTACAGATATGGAACATTAGAATCATTCTATAATCAGTTTTTACATTTATTTCTATATCTTGCCTAATAAATAAAATTGAAATATATATATATATATATATATATATGTTTCCACACAGAGATATCCCTTTACAAGGAAGAATTTGGAATGCCCAGGAAATATGTCAACTTACATGTACATTTGTTACTCGTTGTGATACTTTTCAGATAATTTGTAGAGGGCCTCTCAGGAAAACAGTTTCAAAACTGAGAGAGTTACCCTGTTTAAATAAAAACAAATAAATAAATAAACTAGGGTTCGAGGGGATCCCTAGAGGTGGTCACTTCAGACATAGGCCATATTAGGTCTTGTTTAAGCATTATAAGGGCCCTATTTATGCCATACAAGGTCTTATTTATACCACATAAGGTCATATTCCTGCCATATAAGGTCTTATTCATGTCTTATAAGGTCTTATTTATGCCATGTAAGGTCATATATATGCCATATATTACTCCAAGACACATCCAATACAACTTACTTGGCCCATTAAACTCAGGCATCTCGAGCATTGACTTTTTTCTGGTGAGCTGCCGAGGGCTGTCTGATGATGTAGATTTCAGGGAACTAGACGACTTGCTTCTATGTAGGGTGTTGAGAGTACTGGTACTAGACATGTCACCATCATAACCCTTGAGAATTACAAACAAAATGATGATACACATTCAAGTTGAGTGAGGCGCAATAGCTCAGTTGGTAGAGCAGTGGTCTTGTAATCCGGTGACCCGGGTTCGAAACCAAGGCGATGCGCTAGTGCCCTTTGGTAAGGCGTTAATACTCATTACCAGGTTCCTCGGAGAGGACCTAAAGCCGTCGGCCGCCTGGTTGCTTACTTACAAGCATTTATGCTTTCTTAGCAGTCAGGTAAAATAACCACCACCACTATTCATTCAAATTGATTAAAAAATGTTTCATAGAACTCCTGAATCCAGTGTTCATCCATTTTTAGCAAACAATAACAATTTTACGAAAACATTGCTATTGGCTTCAAAAAAAGCATAAAAAAGGTTTACATGTATAACTACCAAACATGTCATTGCACATTAACTAGATTTAAAGGGACTAGATTTCTTGTTGACTAAGCTGATAACCCTTTCATATGTAAATAATGATGATGACAACAGCGACGATGATGATGATAATAATAATCATAATAATTATAGAATGTATACATTCTTGCACAGCACAATTATTTTTTTTAACTGTTACTAAAGTATAGGCATTGTGAATATCATTTTTATGCATAATGGGTCAGAAAAAATCAACAAAAGGTCGTGAAATATTTGAAAAATTACTCACACAGCTTTACATACATGTTTTGTGCAGGATTACCAACCAGCATGAATTACAATGGTTCACACTGTAAAGATTTTAGGAAGCAACATGACCTTTGACCTCTTACCTTGACATACAACGACCTCTCCAGTTTGCCGTCGTCTTTCTTCTTGCTGAGCCAGCGTTCACAGTGGAAGTGGTACGTGTCGTTATCGTCGTCCACCACCTCCACGCGGTCCAGGAACCAGGCCGCGTTGAACCCGGAGTTGTCATGACGAACCTTGACCTTGAAGGGTTTGCCGAGGTCAACGGCTTCGATGGTGAATTTATCACACTGTAGATACAACAATAGATAGGATAGTAATAGAAATATGTACACTAGCTGAAGCACGTTGTGTTGATACATCAATGTTGCCCTAACTCATGGAGCCCGTTTCAGGGACATGCGCAGCCTAGTGAAATGAAGAGGCACGTAAAAAACAAAAAAGAGTTGCTATTGATATCATACTGCAATTGATTCAATGCAATCCCAAATGAGAGTATTCCTATCACAATCTGCACTACAACAAATATGCTCAAAAGGGCAAATATTCGTTTTTTCTCGAAAATACTGCAAAGAAACAGAATCTTTCTCACAACACAAAAGATAACAAACATCACTCGTAGAAACCTGCATGTTATATCAATTTCATTCCTGAAAGAGAACCATAACCAGAAATTCAACTTCTCAAACCCATTCATTAATAATGCAGACAAATACACATCATACAGAAGGTTCTTATTTTCATTTCTGCAATGGAAAGGCTAACCATAACCAGAGAATCATCAACTCAACAAATTTGTTAATTATTACAGAGAACTTCAGACCTGGGACCGGTTTCACAAAGCCTTTTTTCAATGACAAATGACAAAAATTAGTGACAAATCTGTTGATAACCCATCAGAAGCAATGATTTAAGTAGCTTATAACAAAAACTGTTATTTGTCACTGATGACAAGTTTTGTGAAACAGGGCCCTGCACACGCCACATACTCCAATCCAAAAAACATTGAAGGGCATCATGCAGAGAAAACATTATAAACTCAAAATGAGACAACTGAAACAGATGTTATGACCAGACCACAACCAAAAGATACTCGGTCATTTTTCATATGCGGAAAATCTTAATTTGGGGGCTATTTTCTCTCTATTTTTATGGTATTCCCTAGAAACTAGACTATTTTTATTATATTTCTGATGAGAAAAATGGAAAAATAGATAAAAATCTTTATTTCTAGGCTAAGTATTTGGAACAAAAGATATATGAAAAATGTAATGTGAGTTTAAATAAGTAAAAAACAACTTTTCCAACTAGTTTTGAACTATTAACAAATGTTGATTAGGGAATTGAGACATATGTTATGCCCTGACCAGACCACTAATGGATAATCACAAACCAGGAAAAACACATGTACAGGTACCTACATTGGGAGTGACATGAACAAACACAAAATATGGTGTGTGGGACCATAACAAAAGACACTTGGCAAACCCTATTTGTAGTAAAAAGTCCACCTCAAATTTTAAAATATTCACATTAAAAAATTACCTCTTCATTCTATAAGATAATTAATGAATGGAAAATAGCAAAATGAAGAAAAAAAAGGAAGAATGGTTACGAAGGGAAGTAGAGCTGCAGAAAATGTGCTCAATAATGTTAATGTTTCTCCAAAATAATAAGTTTTTATTCAATGGATGAAATATCTTTAATTAAATGGAGTATTATTAGAAATCAAATCTACTGCTGGGCAAAACAGTTAAATCCTGCCTTCCACAAAATATTTACCAACAATTTTTACTTTGCAGTATAGATAATATCTATATTAAGTTTTATCATTAAATTCCTCCACATTTTTAATGAAAGAATTAACAATATAAAAGTTGCCAAACTGTAAAAGAAAAGCTGATTTTAGTTGACCTTTGAAAAGCTTTTTCATTGAACTGGTGTACATCTACAACATGTATGTATCGAGGATAATCTCCTTTTCTGCTTGGCACAAAATTTCCAAGCACTTCAAACGTATCTCCACAGTTGTTATTATAAAGACGCATAGTAGTGGGCTCTCATGGGGAATTGGACAGCATTCTTTTGTTTACCCAATAACAAGTGTTGTCAATCACCAAGATTAATTAACCTTCAGTCTTTTCACCAACAGGGCTTATGTAATGCTCTGCATTTTTCCACCTATTCCCCATATCGTCGCTGTTTTCACGAAGTGACGGTAGTGAAAACAAATTGCATTCACTTTGCGTTACGATTTTCCTCACTACCGTCACTTCGTGAAAACAAGGACGATATGATAAAGTCATCATCTTACAGTTCCCTTGCCCAAAGACTCTCTGAGAGACTATAGGGGGTATTTCTTGATGGGACTACAAGTTTGCCATGTGTGAGACTTGTACACCCATTAATGGTATTTCCAACAAGTCTGGTGTCAGCGAATAGTGACCTTCTGCATATGGAAACTGACAACCATCTCCATCTAAAAGCAACACTAATTCCCAACAACTTACATGTCCTCTTTCAAATTTGTCGCTGTAGCTCTCGGAGTTCCTGAGTTGTCTTTCTCCACTGTCCCCGTTCTCTCCATAGACCGTCAAGTAGACGTTTGCATCGGTTCCAGCCCGGAAGGTGTCCCCTGTGTATACCAGCAGCTTGTACTGACGCTCTGCAATAGTTGATAAAAAAACAAGTAAAGATCAAATATTTGTTTAAATTCTGTATCTTTCATGTAGGCCGTCATTGTTGGTCAAACAGTTTTTGAGCGTCAAGGAACGTCTGGCTGGAATGCTCCCCAGGGAGTGGAGATTGTGCACACATCGTGTGCGGGCAAGCACTGAATCCAATGACCGGGGTAATAGTATATTTGTAAAGCGCTTAGAGACATTTGTATTAAGCGCTATATAAAAGCTAAATATTATTAAATATTATTATAAGGCCAAAGATTACATTGTATATGCGCATGCAGCACATATTGACCCTGCATCACAAAACCATGAAAAGGTCGCATAGTGTGGTTTTCAGGAACAGCTCACTAAAGGTGTATTTGGTCTGACTGGACAATTTTAGTTTTCAGCCTTTCCTGGAAGAGTATACTTTTTAAACAATTTAACAGTGGTATTTTGGCAACATTTTGTAGACCTTTGTTTGACTCTGCTTATTCATCTCGACAAGAAGCCCCGACATCTGGGAATCAGACTACATTCTGAACCCTAAAACGCCTGAATCAGGGGAGGGGCTGGTGTGTAAAGGCCTGTTTAGATTTGGCACAGTAAACCTCCGCAAAAAAAATGCAAAAAAACAATTCCATAAAGGACTTTGGCATATTCAATGAGTTCTGTGCTATAAGATACAGAAATATGAAGCAGATTACACACTACGTCATCATAAAAAACGCCATAGTTCTGCAGCGCCATCGAGCCTTTAGTGTCTGCAACCAGCCTATAATGAAACCCCACCACACATCCTTGAAAGAGCGTATATAGACTTACTTGTGAGTGTGTTTTGCTTGATCTCTTTAGTCTTGGTTGTTCCATCTTTCTTGGTCTTCTCCTCTGTGACCTGGTCCGGGACCAGTTCCCTGATGATCTCACCGTCGTCTTCCTTCCTTGAGAACCAGCGGTTGCACGGGAACACGTAGGTCCTGGAACCCTGCTGGGGACAAAGACAGACCAAGAACATTACATAGGATTATAGAATTGTGTTTGGTGCTGGTTCCTTATGTGCTTGACATCAATGTTTTAACCAACACCGTAAGAACTTGCAGAGACCCACAGAAAACAACTTTTGTTTCCCTTGAGAAAAAAAATGGTTTCTCACTAAAACCTGTACTAAAGGAACCTGTACATAAAGACCACTTTCCTTGTACCCCTTGAATGGTCTTTATAGACAGGTTTCACTGTTTAGTCAAGCCATTACGATAATAACAAAATTGGATAGGCTGAATCGATAATACTTTGCACTAAGACTGAGTGGAGGTTAGGTGTCATAAAGTTATATAAAAAACGATAGTTTATTATTACAGTTGCTTAAGAAAAGTGACTAGTTTACAGCGATCTTACCTTTTTGCCATCCAGGAGCTTACGGATCTCCACTTTATTAAGATGCCAAGCAGCACCGAAGCCAGCATTATCGTGGCCGATCCTTATCTTCTCTATAGTATCCCCAACATCTTCGAGCTGGAGTGAAAAAAGAAGAGCAAACAGGGGAAAAGATCAAATTAATGCGATTAAAAAATTGGCAATATCAACTGATACGTACAACACATTTCCATTGTACCTGAACCAAAAATCATCTTTCAATCTTACAGAGCTAACCAAATGATTAAGAAAGAAAACATTTATAGATAGATGATGTTGTCATCTAATGAATGTTAATGACCCACAACTAAATGCATTTCAATTTTCAAGTTAAGTGATATATAATTTTTCGTATTAATATTTCAATTTTCGCGATGTACATGTACCTCGCTCCAGCTATGTTAAACTTATCTACAATTTCTATAGTATAGTGTATTTCACTTTGCATTTGCCAACGTGTAAATCTAACTTTCAAGTATGTGTTTCTTAATCTCTGAATAAATTTAACCATCCTTCTAGTCCCAAGAAAAAAAAATTAAACAATATCTAGTACCCTTTTTTTTTCTTTTTCAAGATTTGTTTATTGCTCAACTCTATAAAAAATACATAATATTAAAATACATTCAAAACACTCTAAAAAAACACTTTATAAAAACACATGTATATCAATTTCCTTATATCCAATATCTACCCTTACCTCGACAACAAACTTATCCTCACTACTCTTCTCAAAGCACTCCTTTCGCTTCTTCTTGTTATCACAGAGACTCTTCTGAGTGGTAACCACCTCTCTGCCATAGAGGACGATGAAAACATCGGCGTCTGTCCCGGCGCCGTTCACGTCACTGGTGTAGACCGTCACCTCATAAGGGACATCTGAACAAATATCAATAATGGTAATGACCAGTTTACAAATACTTTTTAAAAAACTTTAAAAAAAGGGTTTTGGGTGCAAAATATCCATTCAATATTGTTTCAAATATGCCCAAATGTTCATTCGCTATATCTATCAAGGCCGGATTGATATGATAATTTACCAAATATATCAACTAGTAGGCGGTTTTAGGCAAAATTTGTATCATCACGTATTAGTCAAAACATATTCTTTCACATGATTGGTAATAAGAGCTTCAATTTCATTTTATGAGAGGGGGGCGTTTCCAAAACTGGTCTATACCTTTAATGTTCATAAAAGTTTAGAAAATTTCATCAGTGGTCGTGATTTGCAAATTTTCAGAAATAAGTGAGAAATGACTGAAAAACAATAGCAATTCTTTAGCATTTCAGGATAGTTTCTTGCTGACTTTATGATTCATAAGATTTCTGGCTTCACAATACACTAGAACCACTTTTGGCACTGTACCCTATTTATGCCACTGTTTTCTCTAACCACTATGATCTTTAGATAACATATTTTCCTTCAATAGTGAATTATCAAAAAATGTAAATTCTGTAGATTTGTGACCATGATGTGTACGTCCCTCAAGAGACCAATGCCAGTATAAAATGGTAAGAGCAAACAGTGGCATGAATAGCTTGCCATAGTTAAGTCCAACTTAAAGTCGATCTTAGTCTTTGTGAAACACCCCTCTGGTCTGTGACTGTGTCACATTCGAAACAGGCATTTGCTTTGAAACATGTGTAACACCACAGAGAGGAAATTAACTTACGTTTTTCATATTCCTCCATCCTAGACTCAACAGGCAGCAGCTCCCTCTCTATCTGACCATCGTCCGATGACTTGTCAAGCCAACGGCCGCAGGGGAAGCACCAACGCTTGCCAAGCGAGGGCGCGTCAATTTCTACCTTTTCCAACTTCCAACCAGCAAATCCTCCCTTATTATCATGGCCAATCCTGCAATGGTTACAAATAAAATCATGAATGTGTATTAAAATTTATTATGCATGTATACCTCTCTTTAGAAATATAGCCGTCTGATTGGTCGAAATTGCAGTCGTGATTTCAGATATTCCTGTCTACCAGTCAATAGTCCTGTGAAAAGTGCCCTCATACCCGCTTACCGGTCAATAGTCTTTTTAAAGATACTCGTTTCCCCGGGTAACAGGCCGCATAAAAATCATGAATTGTATTAAAATGCAATAAATACTGAGTATGCTTAAAGGCATTGTTTAACAATGTTAACTCTGAGTAGCATGGCCCAAAGTGTTATCAGTGTCTGTGATATGGTGTAATTTTGAAGCCCTAACTAAATTTGTGTTTCAAAATGATCATGAAGTGCCTCAAAATAGTAAAAATCTTTAAGTGACTTGTTTTACCATACTCCTTTTCCCCAGTAGACTGTAGTGTTATAAAAACCGTTAGGTTTTCAATAATGAATATCTTGATAATCAGACAAGCGATCGGCTTGTAAAAGTCGGGGGTTCCTGACTGAGCTAAAGGTTCATAATTATCATTGCAGCCTGAGCAAAATCAAGGATCTTGTCTCAGAATCTGAGACAAAGATACCCAATCCCTTTAAACATTTCCTACTTGCACAGTACTATAAGCAAAATATTATTCTTGACAGGTCTTGAAAGTTAACAATTTCCAGATACTTGGAAAACTGTAGTTCTTAGGATAATAGCTAAAAAAAGCATTCCTGCATAAAGTTATTTAACCTGTCAGAATAGAAGCAAAATATTCCATTTATTTTTTTCTTCAGCCAGATAATTTGATATGACCCTAAATTACCATAATAATTAAATTATATCATAGTTATATTGTTGTGTATTAATTATGTTATTACATTTTGTTTTAATTTAGTGACAGATTGAATAATTCAAAAACATATTCATATGGACACTTGGCATTCCATACTTAGTCGGTGGATAAAACCATGGACTAAATTTAGTCCGCTTTCGAGAATACCACCCAATATGTTTAACAATAAACTTTCACCAGCATGTTTACCTTATTTTCTCCAGTTCCCCGATATCCACCGCCTCCACAACAAACTCATCCGAATGGCCTTGCTCAAACTTGTCTCGGTAGGTCTTGGAGGACTTGAGGAAGTTTCTTCCGGTATCACCGTTCTCTCCATACAGGATAATGTAGACGTTGGCGTCTGTCCCGGCGCCCCGCTCGTCACAGGTCGTCACAGAGATGTTGAAGGTTTGCATGGCAGCTGAGGGAAAAGAGAGAGAAATGATGGTCATATTAGTAACGATGATAAACAAGGGAGGTGTTTCACAAAGATCCTAAGTTGAACTTATCTCTAAGTTGAACTTAACATTGTGGAAAGCTGTTAGCATCTGTAAAAAATATTTTGTATAAGTTATTTTAAAAGGCTCAAAATGCTGTTTCAAATCATTCATGTTTTCTTTTATCATGGGAGATTTCATGTTCTTGATGTGGAATTTATGAAAAGTCTAAAATACTTGAATTCTTGATATATTTCATCATAAGGCTACATAATTTTAAAGTCCAACTTAGTGTTAAGTTCCACTTAGAATCTTTGTGAAACACCCTCCTGAAAGTGGTAGTGATGCATGTGATTATGATTGCAATGGAAATAACCAGGGGAGTGTTTACAAAAACGAAGATCAACTTTAAGTTTGACTTTAAGTTCACAATATGGCAATTTTTTCTAATAATACACTGAATACTCATGAAAGTGACTTTTTGAAATAAAATAATAAATACATGATGATGAAATTATGAAAATTATACTTGAAAGAAGGTATTCCTTACATTTGAGTTCCAGACCGAATTGGTCCTTTATTGATGTTGATGATTTCTTCCTCTGGAGAGCTCTGTTGATTAAGTCCTTGTCCACAGGGATCAACTCACGAGCGATCTGACCATCATCACGATTCGTTGCAAGCCACCTCTGGCAGGGGAAGTAGTACCTGAGTTAGGATTAAAATCAGGTATAAACAGACGCATGAATTATCATTGGGTGTGTTCAAACCATCAATCATCACGATTTGTTGCAAGCCACCTCTAGCAGGGAAAGTAGTACCTGTATTGGGATTAAAATCAGGTATGAACAGAGACATGACCAATCATTGGGTGTGTTCAAACCTACATTTAATTTGTCCCACAGAAAGATTTGCTGCAATTAGCCATCATGTAAACAAGTGACTGAAACAGCTTATCACTATTCTCTATAGAAAGAAGCATCAAAAAGTTAAATTACGTTTGTGATCCGGTCAATCAAAATTCATCCAAATTCACTTCAATATTCACAAAGACTAAGATCAACTTTAAGTTGCACTTAACTATGGCAGACTTTACATGCCACTATTTCCTCTGACCATTCATGGCATTCGTTTCTCAAGGGACGTAAAAATCGTGGTCACAAAACTACAGAATCTACCTGATTTCATTATTGAAGGCAAAATAATATCTAAAGATCATAATTGAGAGACCAAAGGTGACAGCAACCAGTGGCATGAATGGCCTGCAATATTTAAGTCCAACTTAAAGTCGATCTTAGTCTTTGTGAAACACTCCCTGGCTCATTTTGTCAAAGATATAGGGTTATTGTTATGGTCAGGTACAACGTATATTGCTTTGTCCAGGGTCAAAGTTCAGTTCAGTTTGTGTAGTAACAGAGCAGGGAGCAATTGTCATTGGAGCATGTATTGCAATCCTGATTATTCCAAGTCAAATTCAGTCATATCCAATCAGAACTGGGGCCCGTTTCATATAGCTTGTTACCTATAACAAATGCTAAATTTCTATGACAAATTTGCTCTCAGCCAATCAGAAGCAAGGATTTCAGTAGCTTATTACACATATTGTCATTTGTCACTTATGACAAGTTTTGTGAAATGCCCCCCAGGTCCACGTTTCTTTTACCTTGCATTCTTCTTGGGATCCTCCACCTCTACTCTATCAAGGAACCAATCAGAGCCAACGTTAGCGTTGTCATGACGAATCTTCATCTTCTTCAGCGCTCCAAGATCTGCGGCTTCTATGGAGAAAACATCCTCCTAAAAAGCAGAAGAAATTGACAGAATATGATAATTTTTCTTTCCATGATACAGTCCTATCAGGCAAACATTCTAAAAACTTTTGGCAAATCAGTTATAAAGATCAAAAACAGAGTTGGCCCTAAAACTGATCCTTGTGGTACACCACATCTTTTATTCTTCCTTTCAGATAACGTTTGAACACACCAATATCTTCCTATCGATCAATCAATTAACCAATGAAGTTACCATTCTATCAAATTAATCAACCGACCAATCAAACAATTGATCAATCAAAATTACTCATTAAACCAATCAGACATCAAGAACAGAATCAACTGAAAATCTTTTCATCAATCAAAGATTCAATGAATAAATAATTACATTATTCAATTTATCAATTATTTTAAAGCTTGTCTGTACTAGTTTGGCCAGGAGGGATTAGACCACCCAGCAAGGTCACTGACAGGGGGTTATCTCATCAAATGAAAGGAAAGGTTATCTCATCAAATCAGCTCTCAATTAACATAAGAAAAAGAGGATGAGGGACCTACGGGCACCGCTTTGGCATTGTTTTTCTATATAGAGGGAGCAAGAAGCTACAAGTAGTGCAGTGGGACTTTAATATCTTACCTGCCCACGTTCAAATTTGTTCATATTTGTCTCTGAGTCTTTCATGCTCCTCTCCCCGGTGTCCCCCTTCTCTCCGTAGATGTTGATGAAGACGTTTGCATCGGTGCCGGCTTGGAAGATATCCCCACTGAAGATATGAACCTTGTAAGTACTCACTGCAATCAGACAATAATTTCAATTTGAACTTCAATTTTAATTTGTTGTCCAATATTGAAAATTTGTTTTGCTCACATTTTACATATGTAAGAAGAATCAAAATAAGTTTAAATACACAATATATCATATACTAATTGACATAGCAATTCTTCAGAATATTGCTATACAGAAATTTTCTTACGTTGTTATAACACAAAATAAGTGAATTATTTGAATTATTTCAAACTGTTCGAGTGAGCTGGATCACCCGGATAGGTTAAAGAAATAAAATTTAAAAAAATTCAAAATTAAGTACGGGTCTTTGATTTCAATCAAGAATTTGCCATTTAATCCAACTCTGATTGTCGTAAATATGTTAAAGTCAAACAAAACTCCTGTTATGCAAAGTGCTGAGTGTGTGTGTACATCATCATACCTAATATAAGGCCTTTAAAAAAAAAATGTTGCATTACCCTTTGCAAAAAATGTTGTATTGCCCTTTGCGACCAACCTAAAATCTTGAGAAAAAAAAAATGTTTTTTTAGGAAAAACATGTTTTAAAGCATTCAAAAGTGAGAAATATCAGCTCTAAGAGGGTGAAAAAAGGGGGGAAAAAAGAAGATTTCTGACCGACTGACCCATGTTTTGGCACCTAAAGGGCAATACAACATTTTTTTTCCAGGCCTTATCGATCTCCTCTGTACACCACATACATTAATGCAGTTGTGTTTGTACTTACATGCAAGAGAGTTTCTCCTGAGTAATTTGCCATGTTCATCCGTTGGAACCAACTCTCTGACGATCTGACCGTCGTCCTCACTCCTTGCCAGCCATCTATTACAGAGGAAGATGCACTTGTCTGTATCTGGTGGATCGTTTGACCCGTCATCGGACAACGAGTTCTTGTCGTAGCTGTCATTGTCCTCCTCTTCGTCGCTCAATCGTTCTCTTCGTTTTGATTTTGACTTTGGTTTGGACTTTGAGTGCTTTTTCTTCTTCTTTTTGGGTGGAAACCTCTCAATGATCACCTTTTGATTGAGAGAAAATGTGAGATGAGATAAACAAACATCTATACACATGGTTTGTTTGCACAGAGAGATTGACAGCAAAAGTAGAGAGCAAAATCGTATTATTCAACTAAAAAATGTACTTTTAAAGATAAAGTGGAGCTCTGGTCATGCGATTGCATTGTGAAAAACAGTGTGGAATCGATCAGAAAAAGTTGATCATGTAGCGTATAAGTATTGGTGTGTACTGCAAGGTTCTGGAATCATGCATCAAAATTATAAGGAATTTGGCCCAGTCTTGGGAAAAGTTACAAGCACTACACAAACATGTGGCATAAAAATGTGGTCCTCATTTTTATGCCATTACATTTCGTTTTTAGAATATGACGGCATTTGAGGAGCGATGCTTTTCAGGGAACATCTAGAACCATTTTATTCATCTCTAGGAACCATTCAGCAAAGTATACAGTGCACCCCTTTAATCACAAAATGGTATATCCCATACATCATTACATTCATGCAGGTCTGATTTTTCTATTATTCATAACAGGAGTGTCTGGCAATAAGTACTCACCCTCCCTAGAAACCATCCAGCAAAGCGTCCAGCACCATCATGACCTATTCTGATCTTGGAGAGGGGTCCAACATCTTCTGCTTCAATCTAAAAGAAAATGCAGAAAACAATGTTATAGAAATAAATGTTGAAAGTATAGATTCTAGTCATAACAACATGTTAACCAAAGTTTAAGTCTACATCTAATGAGAACAGGGACAAAATGTGCTCGGATACAACACTCACACACTCATTTCTAGGAACGGGCATGAACCTACATGTATATCTAAATGATTATGGTTTGACTGAGAAATGTCTGTTGTACTAAAGAGATACTCAAGGTGGAATGATGACGATACATGTACATTATTGTAGTGGTCTTCATTATGTGCTGCTAACAACAGACTTCTCTCTCTATATATATATACAATACATTCAAATATAAAAAATGGTTTTTGATTTGTGATAACATATGTCTGATGGAGGTGCTACAAGTATACTAAGGTCCAATACTGATGTACATGAGCCTTACAACCATAATAGTCTAAAACACACATACAACATTTAAACAAGGTGAAATATTTCCTCATGAATACCTTGAATTTGTCTGTCATGTTCTTCTCAAAGTTATCAGTCCTGTTTCTGAGCGAGAATTCTTCTGTCTTGGCTCCATCGTCCCCGTACATTGTCAGGAAGACGTTTGCATCGGTGCCGGCTCCTGACTTGTCTCCAGTTATTACAGTGATCTCATAAGGAATCCCTACATTAGGTAACAAAAAGGCAGAGCAGTTAAGATGTAGTCCAACGTTGGATTTAAAGAAGATAGTACAATGGTGGAATTATGTACAGCGTTCATGTACGGTTGTTTACTTTTGAGGATCTACCATAATTTATGATGAATTGTACAGTAAAATGTTGGGCCAACTAATTCAATACACTTTGGAAAATTTGTGTCTGAACGGAAAGTGGGCTAATCTTAGCACAGGACTAAAGGTGGGGCTAAGACCCCACTTTAGCCCCATCTATATACTCCGGAGCTAAGCAAAATTTTAAGAGTGAAAAGCATATATTATTGACTTTGAACTTTCAGATTTAACATTAAGAATAATAAAAATTTAGAGTAGGCGCATCATTATTACTACTGCCTTACCTGCATGCCATGCAAACATATTAAACATAGAATCTAAATACAGTGAAACCTGTCTATAAAGACCACAGTACAGTAAAGTACAGTTTCAATGAGAAACCATTTCAAAGGAAACAAAATAATTGGTATTTGTAGACAGGTGGTTTTTCTATACAGGTGGTCACTAAAGAAGGTTTGACTTTAACTTACGAGGCTTTGACTGCTTGAAGTTAGAAGGCTGGAGTTCGATCTCTAGCTCACCATCCTCCTCATTCTCCGCTAACCAGCGATGCGCTGCAAACATGTAGTTCTCACCGCGGGATGGAATGTCTATCTCTATGTGGTCCAGGAACCAACCAGCACCAGGTCCAGACCCATCGTGTCCAACTTGCATGTATTTAATCTAAAGAGAGATATTATTGGATATAATGAGCGAAGAATTCACACCAAAGGCTCCATGTGGTCTAGGAACAAACCAGCACCAGGTCTACACCCATCGTGTCCAACTCCCATGTATTTAATCCAAGAGAGATATTATTGGATATAATGAGCGACGAGTGATTGAATCAACTCCAAAGATGAAAAATATTTAAATTTGGAAGGAAAAAAAAGGATGTATATATTGTTGTGTGCCCTGGAGAAGTGCATGAACATGATTTTTTGTGAAATTTGAAACTGTTTAATTTTGTTTGCTAAAGTAATAATACTTTGGACAGTGTACAAGCTAACATGAGTTGTGTTAACACACATGTACATTCAAAGGATAGTCAAAACTTAGAATGCAGTTTTAATTCAAGATTCATACATTAACTTTTCCAACATGGTGCAACACGTAAATATACAGGGTACAGAAAGAAAATTAATTAAATTACCCTTATCTACCCCAAAAATTGTTACATGCATATGTAACTGAAGATTAATAAAAAGACCTGTTCTCACTACAAAGATTATTCCTACCTTTCCAATATCCACAGCCTCTAGTGTGAACTTGTCCACCCTGCCTTGCTCAAACTTGTTCTTGGTATTTTCTGACTGCTTTAGCGGTATCAGGCCGGTGTCCCCATCTACGCCAAACAGCTTCAAATAGACATTGGCGTCGGTAGCTGCTCCACGTTCGTCACCAGTCTTCACAGAGACATGGTAGGAGGTAGCTGGTGGGCAGAAGAGAAAGAGAGAGAAAAAATTAAATTTAAAAACAAATAAATAATTAAAACATTTTTTTTTCAAAGTGAATATGTCCACAAATGAGTCACTGCCATGTATTCATAAAGGTCACCTATAACAAAGATCTGAATACTTTTTGCCTATATTCGGACACAAATGTCCCTCAGACATACATGTATGGTAGGAGGTAGTTAGGCGGAAGTGAAACACAGAGATAGAGAGAGAGAGAGAGAATTATCAATTAAAAAAATATTTAAGAAAAACATATAACAAACAAAAAAAGGTCACCTATAACAAAGGTCTGAATGTTTGCCTAAAGCTAGTCACAAAAGTTCGTACGAACGATGCGCTCGTACGAATCTCCGTTTTTCCATGGTCTTCCTGAATCGCATTTTTGACAGAGGCTTAAAGTCTGACACTAATGCACACCAGGTCAATCATCAGCAGTGACAGATGACAGTTTTTGTTATCAGCTCGTGAAATCCTTGCTTCTGATTGGTCATCAGCAGATTCGTCACTGATTTTTGTCATTTGTCATAGAATTTTTTTTGTGTGAAACAGGTCCCTGATTACTCATATGACAATGGAATTAAATATAAAGACCACAAGTGCTGCATAATATTCTAATCTTGACTTACTACTTAGTAACTGAGATGTTCCTTCAGGGACCAGTTCTCTGACGATAAAGCCATCATCTTCATCTCTGTCCAGCCATCTAAAATTAGAAACAAGAATAAAACAAAGCAGACCATAAAGATATCTCTCACAACATTATAACACGTTTATCAACAAACAAACAAATAAATAAATAAATAACTTCTCCACTCAGAAAGATGGCAATGATATGAAATGTAAAGGGACCAGTCAACTTTGTCTCAGATTCTGAAACAAAATCCTGGATTTAGCTGCAATGATAATTATAAACCTTTAGGTCAGTCAGGAACCCCATGACTTTTACAAACCGATCGCCTGTCTAACTATCAAGATATACATTGGGGAAAAACTATTATAGTAAAACCAGTCACTCAAAGATTTTTACTTTTTTGAAGCACTTCTTGATCATTTTGAAGCGCGATTTTTTTTCTAAGGCTTCAATATTACACAATATCACAGACACTGATAAATACGTAGGGCCATGCATCTCAGATTTAACATTGTTAAACGATGCCTTTAAGTAGGAACAAAATGAACAGTATTTGACTGACCTCTGGCAAGGGAAGACCATTTCTGACTTGCTCTTGCCCTCCTCCGTGACGACGACCTTGTCGAGGAACCAGCCTGCTCCAGCTCCAGAGCCGTCGTGACCTATCCTGATACGCTTCATCTGCCTCAGGGTCACCGCTTCCAATGTGAACACATCCACCTATAGAGGCAACGTGGAATGAAATGAGAATGGTTACCCAACGGACTATGGGTGTGTACAAGTGACACTTTTTCACCCTAGAAACACGGTTTTCAAAGACGTTTAGTTTAAAACACAGTTGAGTTCAAGCGGTTTTTGACGGTCGTAGCTAGAGATAAGCGTGTTTAAAAACACAAATATGAAACGCTGAAAAAGGTGCGTTTTGTTTCGCTAAAAATCGCTTGAACAAACAGAGATCTCAATCATGATTCTATAACGTCATTATCATGGCCTGCTTCCGGTTTGGCCGACAGTTGACTGTAAAAAAAATTCAGAAAGCATGCGGCGAAATTGACCGATACTTCCTGAATCAAAGTGCACAGTGTGATGAGCAGTGGCTGGGCTTGAAATGAGCGAGAATCAGCATTGATGAAAAATCGCTTGAATGCTCTCCCCCCGTAACCATGTTTTTTTTAAAGGCGTTTTGATTTATAATTCATGTTTGTGATTCTAGCTTCAAAAAATTGATTGAACGCACCCTATGTATTTAATATATGAGGGGATGAGTTTAATAAACTCATCCCCTCTTAATATTGGCAAAACATTGTGTCCTACAGAATAAAATGAATATGGTGATATTGGGAAAACCATAATCGTCTTCTTCCCATCAAATTGGCAACAGTTCCTACCAAATAAAAACTAACCTAAATACACAAACATGTAATAGGGAAAGAAACAAGGAAATAGAAGATAAAACAGTGATTAATTTTAAAAGTTTAACACATTACATTTATAAAGAATCTTTTTCTTTGCAAAAATAGCATAGGATTTTATTAATCATAAAACTTGACATATTGTACAATCATAAACAAATATTTACAATCATAAATAAAAAGGAATAATTCAGGTTTATTTATTTTCAAATTGGTGACTAAATGAATTACATAAGCAGGGAACTGGACATGAATCATTCAAGCAAAATTGAAATATACACTTTAAATATTGCACATGCATGTGAATGCGATTTTTAAATGCTTTTTTACAAATCAGTGTACAAATCAGTGTAATACATATAGGTGGTCAATGAAGCATGGGATCAAACGATCAATCAAGCAATGGATACATCAATGAATTTATCTTTTCACAGAAAACAGTGATCACTTGAATTAAGCTTATATATCACTTGCATCTTGAGTATGAGCATCTACATGCACATCTGGGGGGTGTTTCACAAAGATCCTAAGTTGAACTTATCTCTAAACAATTATGGAAAGCTGTGAGCATCTATGTTCATTCAAAGCATTCATAGTTTCTATTATCTAAAAGATTTCATGTTCTTGATGTGGAATTAATGAAAATTCTAAAATACTTGAATAATTGCTTTTGAATATACTTTATTTTAAGACTACAAATGGCTCTCCATAATTTTTAAGTCCAACTTAGAGTTAAGTTTGACTTAGGATTGTTGTGCAACACCCCTGAAGTATAAGCGCAATTACTGTCAAAGGTATTTTGTCAAATACATCCCCAAAACCAACATCAGTTTTGATACCTGACGATTCTTTGAATTGATAGCCCTACCGGAGATTTAATCCGAACAAATAAACAAGGAAAACGATACTTTTGTTTTCAATTTTTGTTTACTTTTCAGTATTCGTGGATCCCTATGGGACAGTAATGTCCAAATACCTTTGGTTTGCCTGAATGTGTCAAGCATGTATAAATGGGTGGGCGATCGTTTGGAAGTGATCAGTGATGATGCCATTGAAAAGTATGGGTGGTATTCTCGAAAGCGGACTAACTTTAGTCCATGGTTTAATCCATCGACTAAGTATGGAATGCGAAATGTCCATATGAATATGTTTTTTAATAATTTAATCTGTCACTAAATTTTACTAAAATGTAATAACATAATCAATAAACAACAATTTAACTATGATATAATTATATTATCGTGGTAATATTGGGACATATCAAACTATTCAAAAATATATTCATATGGACACTTGTCATTCCATACTTAGTCGGTGGATTAAACCATGGACTAAAGTTAGTCCGCTTTCGAGAATACCACCCTATATTTTAGTGGTGGCAGCTGTGGGATTTTGAAGCAATATTGTCTACGTGTGGAGGTGGTGTTGTATAGTGGTTCATTCATGTGACTCTCAATCCAAGGGTTAAGGGTTCGAATCCCAGCCCGGCTCTAACGTCCTTTGGCAAGACATTGATCTACGTTTGCCACTCTTCATCCAGGTGTTAAACGGGTACCCGGAAGGATGCGAAAGCTAAAGTGCTTAGATTAGCAAGCGTGGGCTTGTAAAAATGACGCCTGGCTGGAATGCTCCCCAGGGAGTGGGGAATGTGCATACATTGTGTGCGGGTAAGCCTGAATCTGATGACCGGGGTAATGATATATATATCTGTAAAGCGCTTTGAGAGGGCCTTCGGTCCTGAAAAGCGCTATATAAGAACTAGCCATTATTATTATTATTAATCCAAGGGTTGAGGGTTCGAATCCCAGCCCAGCCCTAAAGTCTTTTGGTAAGGCATTAAAAAGAAAATTGACAATAACCAATAAGAATCCAGCATGCATACAGTTGAATTTGTTTGAATCATACATACCGGTAGTGCACAGTGAAGGATATGTTTGAATTACAATATAAAATTTGTGCTACAGTATAAGATAATCCTTCCGCCATTATTACTATGATCATATCACATACAGCTTTAATGGAAATGGAAAAATACAATTGAGTGAATGTGTGTATGCATGTGTGCTGATCAATAGCCTGTCATCAAGGCACAGGATTTATTTCTCCATCACAAAAATAATCAGTTGAATAGAGTCTGAAGTAAGTTGATATAGACTATCCCCTTTCACTCCCATCCTTGTTACAGTGAAGAGTTGGAAAAGTTAGTTCTACCAAATACAGACTCAATTCAACTCATTTTCCTTGTCCTTAAATGAAGAAAATAATTCCGCCTCACAGCCAGACTGGCCAATGGGTGAGTGCGATAACTTGTTTAATAATCAGTTTAGATTTTGATGTAAATGGATGAAGATGATGAATTGAAGATGGAACAATTTCTGTTTTTTTATTTATTTCACCTTCATCCTTTCGTCCTGTTTCGGTTGTAAATCTACATCTATTTCCAAAGGAGCATCTATATCCTACAAAGCAAAGACTGAATTAGTCTACACACAAATGGATAAAAAGGGCTTTTGTATGTATAT